GCCCACTCACTCAAAATCACAGAACTATCACAAAGAGAGATCTTCAGAGACATCACTGCTAATACTGTTGCCAAAGACACGAAAACCTTTACAAGGACAAGTATTTTTTCTCCTGACACCTTTAACGCACAGCATATCAAGCTAGTGTCACAAGCAATGTAAGATCACTGCATAGGAGAGGCTTTAAAAGATAGCTGCTATGAACATCCATATTCTTTTTGTTTATTTATCTCTGTGCAGATTCCCCTTCTACATAAAATAAGCTGTTCTTGGCATAAATCATCTGGTGGCAGATTTTCATTCTTGAATGAAAATCTACAGTACTTCAGTGGAGTATTTAGCATAAGGGATGAGTCCATCCTCAATCAATTTTAATCACACTGAAAAAATTGTGCCTGACATTTCATCAAAAAGTCACATTTCTATAGAAGTATCATGAAGCAGGTAGAAATAAATCAAATGTACCCCCAGGAAACTGGCAAAGTTACTTGTAAAGAGCATCTGGGAGATCCAGGGACAAGAAGGATGAGCTTCGCTCCATCTTGAAAGCTCCGTAGTGCTGCTTACAGGCTGGATTATACAATTTACAATTATGTATGAATAGCAAAATACGTAAGTACAAGCAGATATGGATATACATATGTGTGTGCAAATGTATACAAGCAACATAAAAAGAATGGGGAAGATGAGGTAATACAACTCGCTTAGGAAAATTCTACTTGATAGTCAGAGGACTGTTAAGCATATTCACCTTGTACTCATTGTAGAGGTAATTAAGAGAGATGGGTATCTCCAGAGGCTAATTTAGTCCATTGCTGTCTTATAAAGTAATTAGGCTTCATCAGGTAAGGAAAAGCCTGGGCCCTCATGTTGCCAATAGTCTTTAAATGAACACCTGAATTTCATCTGTGGTTTGAGATCTACAGAATATTTCTTTAGCTCTTCTCAAAATGTTTGGATGTTGTGTTAAACAACTTACTGGCAGGATATTCTTGCTGCTGTTTCTGGCAAAAAGAATCTGGAAAAAAATATCCTTCAGACTGTTAAATTGTTTCAGTTTGTTTGTTTGTTGCTTTTATGTTTTTAAGAAATAATTAAAAAGACACACCATTTTTACATCTAGAATTCTGGTATGCTTTGAAGTATACTTTATTTTAAAATGCATTTAATCTACCAGAGCTCAAACTGAAACACACTTGTCTGTCTAGAAAGGTTTTGTTTTGCATTTCTTGACTTAAAGCTAAAACAAACTAACCTTAGATTCATGATAAAACATTAAATTCTGACTCACAAACAAAGCAAAATTCACCAATTTAAAGAAAAAAATCAAACAGTGCATCTCCCCCACTTCTGAAATAGTGTAAATGTCACATGATCACATGCTCTTTTATTAGAAAAGCCCTTCGTCCGTCTAGAATATGCTACCTGGGTAACCTGTGTTACACATAAACTACTTTCCAGTGAAAAAAGACCATCACACTCCAGAACCAGTGCAGTGCATAGATAAATGAAAATAGCTCAGCAATGACATTCAAAATACAGGATTTTTGTCTTGAAATATTCTTCCCTCCTACATCTGGCATCACTCACCTGAAAGATCTTGAGTGAAATCCTGATTGCTTTACAGCAGCTAGATGTTAAAGGACATAATCTGTTCAGGCACATCAGAAAATCTCTAGGCATCTACCTACTTAATTATGTAGGTAAAAAGCTCTAACAATCTGACCTGGGGAGACTATTGACGCGGGGGTTCAGGAATATTAATTGTTCTTAGATCAGTCAGGACTATAGGATTCAGCTTTTGCTCATAATATACATAATTGCTGAATATGATCCTAAAAACAGATAAATCTTGCATCCCTTATGGCTACCATGACCTTATTTTGCCACTTTGACTGTGAAATATATGTTGAAAATACTGTTCAACATAAAATAATGACTTCAGTAGCTATGAAGAGTAAATAACCTCTTTTAACTGAAGAGTTTTAAGGACTAGCACCAGGAGAAGAAACCATGGGACTGAGACATTACAGCCATGGTTCCATTAGAATAAAGGGAAATGCGTTACATTTTATAGACTTATAACGGTTTGGACATTCATTATCAAATAAACTGGAGATGCACTTAGATGCCTGTGGAGATGAGTGCAGTGTAAATGCAAAAAATGAAAACTACACCATAAATCAAGGTTTCTCTTTGTTTCTTACTGCAGATGCAGATTTCTATCAGCCCTCATAGAAACTGCAGATGTCTGCTTATGTATGTATGTCTGGAGGTGCTGCTAAACATTACTTTCCAACAAGTAAATATTAAAGGAAAAGAAACAATTTCCTAGGGTAATCTATGGCAAGGGTAGCAAGCAAGTTGCTTGCTTTTGCAGTTATTGCTCAAAAAACACAGGAGAATCTTCCCTTGTTTCATAAGTAAAGGGCATGTGAGAAATCTTCAGTCTTATGCAGGCAAAGACTGCCTAACCAGACAATCAGACACTAGTTTCAGAATTTTACTTCCTTAAAATCCAGACTGAAGTCAAAAGCAGAAATTAACAGATGTTGTTTAAATTCAGTGAACAGCTGCATTAAACAATTAAATATATCCAAAAAATGCTTGCAAGAAGTCAAAACATTTCAGTGATTGCTTAACACTTTCTAATGTTTTAAATTTTTTTTCTGTTTATGCTGACATTTTTGACATTACACTTTCATCTTCTTTAAATCCACAAGGAAAACATAAGAAACATCTTTAGACTAAGAAAGCATTTAGCCCAATCTATATGAATATATTGTGTACATTTAACTTTTTTATTCAATGTAAGTTTAAAAAAATATGACAATGCAGAAATAATGTTTCTGGTTGACCAAAAAACCCCCAACAACCAAAACAACAACAACAACAAAACCCACTACAGCCTTCCTCTTCATCACTTTTATTCATCTTCTCAATCTTAAAGTCAGCTACTTGTACAGGCATCATTTTCACTGAGAATATGAAAGATATTCTCTAAAAGCTGAGACCGTTTTTAGAAAGTAAGGCTAAGAGGTATGTGGATTTATTTAGCTGGAAACTAAATCAGACACTTTTCCAGCAGCAATAATGGCTATGAAATGTATCTATCACCTTATTACATCTCCTTTCTCTTTCTTTAAAATACTGACAGTGATCACAGGAATCAAATCTCAGCCTGATTTAGGAGGAATGAGTTGAACTGAATGGCAGTTCCCCATGTTGCTCATACCCAGTGTAATGTGCAAGCTTCCAGTCAGGATGAGATCCTCTGGAATTCACTTCCATGGCAGTATTTCAGGTACACATTGAACTTGTTCCAGCGATTCATCCATTAAAAAGTAAATAGATCTATTAATACTGAGGGACAGATCCAAGACCTCAGTCTCTTTATTAGTTGTATTTCTTGCTAGTGAAGGAATTTGATATTGCTTTATCCTCAGTACAGTGCTTTTAGTTCTGTGTGCAGGAATGCGTTTGACTGTATCCTCTCTAGTATAAAATACCATCATTATCCTGAAGCAGGCACAGTGAAGCATAGTTTGAAAGTAATACTCAGAAGTAACAAATTACCACAATACTTAATGACATGGTGCTTCCTAAGCAGTACAATCTAAACTGAACAAAGACTCACTCCTTTAAAGCGCTGTTTCCCTATGTTCGTGTATTACATATCAGCAAAAAAAATGGCCACATTTGTTGAAATTCAAATCAAAATTGAAGGTTTCTATTCTTATATATTCTTATTCTTATATACTGTTTTTCTGAAAAAAATAAAAATAAAAAAAATGGGGGGCTGGCCCCATTTCATTAATACCATAGTCCAGTTGTAACATGAGAAATATCAGGATGAAGAATCATAAACGAGCGTGATTTCTTATCTAGTAGAGTTTTTCTACAGGTGCAGAAGTAGAAACTTCCTTGCTTAGTTCGTGCAGAACAAATGCACTTCTGTGGCAAAAGTGAATACGTAGGGTCCTTGGGTTCTTTTGGGATATATTTTCTTTTCCAGTCACGGTGCCCATCCCTACAGCTTTCACAAGTGACTGTGTTGAGAGTCAGATAAACACTGTTCTGGGTGAAAAATTAGTTTTAAGAAGGCTAGTTTCCACATTCCCAACTTATCTGAATTCTTATCCCAGCATAGAACCTCTTGTAAACAGTCTGTTAAATATTTTTAACAAGACAAAATATACAGGCTGCATGCACGAAATAGTGGCCATGTAGCATATCAACATACACATTTCTTTTCACTGTTAGGTTGGAAAGTGTGCTACAAGAGCAGTAACACAGAACGAGAGTACAGAATAATCTGGGCCAAGAAGAAGGATCATGTCATTTGGAAGAATGAGATACCATAGCATGGTTTGAGTTGGAAATGATCTTAAAGATCATCTAGTTCATCTCCCTGCCATAGGAAGGGACACCTTCCTCTAAATCAAGTTGCTCAAAGCGCTGTCCAACCTGACTTTGAAATGTCTATATCTACTTCACACATCTTGAACAAGGAACATCCTGAAGCTGATATTCCGAGATCAGAACACCTTCAAATCAGATTCCTTTGGGATTTCTATGCAATGAATATTACCAGTGTGTTCCATGATAAGAAAGTAGCCAGACAAAATTCACTGTACTGCAGTCACATGTGCACCATGATTGTTCCAGTATTATTTCTATGATCACTGCTGGGAAGAAGCTTGCTAGTACATTTTCTATAAAATACACTGGCTAGTACTGGAGTTCAGTTACACAAAACACTTTATGCAACAAAATAAGATTTCCTCTGGGATCAAAATGCCTTCATTCTTTTGTTAATGTTTTCTGCATTCAGGATCCTGTGTTAATGATACCAGGCAGCTGTCTATTCATGTCATAACTGCAGTCAGACCTATTCTTACCCTGAGGCTTTTACAGTTACTGGTAGCCAAATGGTGGAAAAAAGAAATGCCTTTTCTCCATCTTACAGATAAAGAGCTGAAAGAAAGTAAACTCACAGCTTCACAATACCTAAAGTCAGTCTTGGAATAAATATGCAGGCAAGTGTTAGTCCTCAAAAGCATTACAAGACTTTACTAAGGTTGTACAGAGATCTTGGTGCATACTCCAGCTTTCTACATCCTCTCTCAGTGCTCCAGTAGCAGAGCAGCATTCCTTTCCCCTGTTGATATTATTAATTGGGCTAAACCATCTTCAGAGAAGTCACAATGTCCTTTATGTATCACCAGACTTGTAAGTGTATGCTGACCCAGACCTATCTCTCAGCAGCACAAAAAGAGCATTTAGTAGTTTTATTCACTTCCTCATTGTTGGTATGTCAGGGTGGTGATACGAATTCATTGCTGCTTGTCAGCTGTCTGGCATCTTCTGACAGTGTCTGCAGGAAAAGTGAGTGGTTATATTTAAATATCTGTCAGTTAATATGACAAAAGACATGAATATTTCTCTGGGATTTGCAATGACCTTTTCATTTGCCTTGAAGAGTTGTCTTCCTCTGATCAAGAAACTAATTAGGTTGCTGAAAGTTGCTGTACATCTCTATCACTGGACTGTGGAAATGCATTTCTCCATATGACAGGGACTCTGCAGGATATTTCCATTCTTCCTAGAATCTTGTGGCTACAAATAGTTAAACTTTCCACAGATCTGAGGCATGGGATTCATACTGTGAAAGTGATAACAGAGTGACAAACCCTGGCTGCAAGCAATTGCATTGTTTGGTAAAACTAAATTGCCTTCAAAAAGTTGAGTTTCCTCAATTCACCATTCTGAGTTGCCATCGGTACAGTCCCATAATGAGATCTCAAGTTAACTGTTCTTGAAAGTGGGCTGAAAGAGTAAAAGCAACCATATACCAAAGACACAGTGTCAGAAAACATTATCATTGAACATATATGAATATGAATTTTGATAAGATGAGAAGAGCACGTCTGAAAAAAAAAAAAGATGTAAAAATAGCTCTTTCAGTGACAGCTGTGTTTGGGGAGGCTTTTGTCTTCACTGCATAATGTAGATGAGCAATAAAACCATGGATTTGCCTACCATTCTATACTGGGTTATTTGCTATTTTTATTATATGCTAGGTTATTTGCTACTCAGTTTCATGACTTGCTGAAGACAAATTAAGGGAGTGCCAGAAGCATATGCAAGGAAGCTTCAGGCTGAGTAATGTCACTTAGACTGTGCAAGAAATGTAGACTCAGGCACTTAACCATATACCATGACTATTGTGGAATACACTAGTTTTGAAATAATCAAATCACAACAAATATACAAGAAAAATGTTCTTCCAGATCAAGAGTACCTTTGTTCTGATAGTCCTCCGTTCACTGCAGATTTCACTGTCCAGAAGTTCTTTGCTAAATTCTTCAGATTGCGCTCCTCCATAATACAGGCCCTTGAAGGGGGAAATACATCTTCCCCAGTAGCTGTGGAAGACCAGCCTGCCGGGACCTGCCAGAACAGGGGGTGCTTGACCACCATTTTGCAACATTCCCTCTTACAATAGTCAAAAACTGACAAGGTCATGCTGTCCTGGACCCTGTTACTATTCCAGATATTGACTCCACTGCTTGCTGATACTGTAAGTAGAACCAATTGAAAACCCTGCTTGAAGTGTTTGGGTTTAATTTTTTTTTTTTTTATCTTTTTTTTTTTTTTTTTTAATTTTCTTTATCTGTGAAAATTTTTCTAGTTTATGAAGAATATTAACTTTCCGAAATTTAGGTAGTTCAAATAAATAAATATTAGATATATGCTAATATCTAATAATATCCTATTTTTTCCTTTTACTTCTGCACTTCCCTTTTCTCAGCAGATGAAAGATGGGGGTTGGGGGGGGATGAGTTAAAAATACTCAAAATATCTCCCAAACATATTTCTTTTTCAAAAACCTTAAGTACTTCAAAAATGGTTTTGGTAGTAATTTCTAATACACAAAAGCTTTTTTACTTTAACACTTATTAAACCACAACATCAATTTCAGAAGTTAGAGACTATTTATTTGGGATGATTCTGATTCAGAATTCCCCAGGACATGAATTTTGAGCTCTGTGAAGTGCTTTCATGCGTTATATACGGCAGGTTTGTCACATTTTCTGAGGTCGGTATGCTGGTTTTGTAAATATAAAAAGTGTCACCATGCTGACATAGCTAATGGTCCGGTCCTCTCTCACCAACCATGAACAGAACCAGCTGCTCCCAACAGCATAAGCAGGAACTCAGCTTTTGAAATAACTGACTTAGGAAGAATGCTCCCCCCTAACCATCATTAGTTAGTTAATCTACTATAACAATTTTTAAAAGCACATAATGTCATTTGGCTCGTTCTTCATTAAGAATGCTGCATGACTAAAAGGTCTCATTTAGTCAGCTGCAGCTGAGCAATACAGCTGATCAGTGAAAGCAATACCAATGAAAAAAAAATCTGTAGTGCAAAGCATCCCTGTAGTTTATTTCCTTTCCAAAATAAAATTCTTGCTGGATCACTTTGACAAGCAAAATGCATCCAAACAAAAAATTTATTGTGATATCATTGCCCAAAGGAGTCGGCATGGTTATGGTTGGTTATGACCATATTCTAATAATTTTTTGATAGTTATAAATCTGAATACATAGGGATCTCTGATAAATGGGATTAATGGACTAACACTGAAAAGAAGTGAATTAGATACTAATGGGATGGGCCTATCTGAGATTCATTAGAGAGTACAATAACCTCACAAGTTAGATGCTCCATCAAACATGGCACTTAAAACCAGGATGGGAGAAGCACTGAGCTGTTCAAATACTCTGCTGGTGGGTGAATGCACAGGAATGGAAAAAAAAATACCCAGGTCATTCAGTACATCCAGACATGCAGTTGCGTAGGGTAGGAATCAACACCAAATTAAGGTATTTAAACAGAGATATCTATATCTGTGTACCTACACTGGGTCTGGGTGTCTAAACAGCAACTGTAGTCAGGGGAGATGCAGGTCTCCCTAAAGCAGAAAGTGGCTGGTCAGCTGCAAGAACAGATTTCCAGCCTCTCTGACAAGTTTTTATTGACTGTACTGATAGTTCAGACACCAACGCACTGCTAGGTACCTAGGATAAAGTTCTCAACTGAATTCTAGCTCTGTCTTTTTGTGAACATCATCAAAGAAACAGTAAAACAAACACCATTTGTTTCTATAAACAAGTGGTGTGAAAAAAGACGTATTATAGAAGGGTGAAGTTTCACTTTAGTGTTCCAATTTACTGCATATAGAACTACTTGAAAAGTCCTGGGCTATCCAAGATACTCATGCAAGTTTGGCAGATAAAAAATGGGTCTTGCATAAGAATTTTGACATTCTGGAACAATTTCTGGGTACCAGGTATGATATCCTAGGAAATTTTAGGTGGCATCAGTCTCCTACATCTAGATAAGAAATTGAATTCTTAGTTGCCTCTTAAGCAAGAAATGAACTCCAAATTTCTTTACACAACCTCTAGCACAGTAGTGCTCTCTGATCATTGTAACTTGCCATGTAGTTATTGGTAGAAGTATCATCTCTGGTTTCCTTGCTGCAGAACCATAGTTCTTCTCACGTTAGCGCATAGTTCAGCTGGTAAGGATGAGAATTTTTGATCAGCACAAACAGTTTCAGCTTAACATTCACCAAGAATGGACGTGGAATCTCCTCAGTTCTGCTTTCTGGTTTTTAAAATACAGTTCAGTTGATTTAACTCTTCTTCCAGTAAAAATCAAAAAGAGGGAAATCAATAGGGAAACAAATTCATGTGGCTAGATTACCTTCCTCCACTTCTAGATTTTTTGGTTAAATGAGTGGTTAGCTAGTTCCATTCTGGATCTTGTCAGATGCATTAACGAAATGTGTTTAATGAACTGGTAGACCAAGAAAAATATCCTTTCAAATCCAGGAGAAAAAAAAAAAAAAAAAAAAAAAACAAAGGGTCAATTTGTAAAGTCCAGGGAAGGCAAAAGAAATGGCGTAGAACTAGAAAGACTGAGATCTCCAACTGATTTTTCAGTTTCATTTCCCTATGTGGGAGACTACTGTCTTTTATTAGTGCTTAATTCATCTGTTGATAAGTAATCATTCTTTATATTTTCAGTAAGAGAAATAAAGTGAGCTTATTTTATTCAGGCTTCAGAAGTGCATTTGATATGTTGCAACATGGGAATATAATAGTTATATTGCAGAAAATAGTTATTAGTAGAATAACTACAAGGCAAATCATGATTAGAGAAGAGATTACAACGGCATATGCTAAAAGGAGAAATATTTAACTGAACAGAAGTTATTAGTAGAATTCCCTAGACCTGGCATCAGGGTAATATTTCTCCATTGTGCTAATGAAATTTGCTGTAACAGAGTTGGAGGCACTAGACAAAGTTGAAGAAAATCTGAATACTACATAGTATGAATGAGATGACATTAAGATCTAAATTAATTGAAATCAGATGGCACTATAAAGTTCAAGGACAAGCTACTGAAGACTACAGTCAATTTTCAGTATAGAATATAAATAATACTTATTAGTGAATCATCAATAGGAAATGACAGGAAAAAATAGCGTTTAGGTGAATGACTGAATGATCGGATTATCATGAGTCACTAGAGCAATGTGATCACAGAGAAAGTAAATATTAATTTACATACACAAAGTGAGATTTTTCTGGGAGAAACAGGGACACATTTAATACTGGAATGGCATTGGATGAGCCACAGACTCTGATGTCAGTCAGAACCCAGAGATGTTGTTCACCCAAGACTACGGATACAAAAGAGAGGTGGGAATGAGCAGAGGAAAGCAAAGCAGTTAAAGGAGATCATAAAGTCAGAAGAAAGACTAGAAAGTTTGCTTTGCTTCACCCGGTAGAGCAAATGCCAGGAGAAGTGAGAAAATTCCTCTGAGATACTACCTAGATAATCAGAGTTGTAGGAAGGCATATCTGAGGGTCCTCTCATCCAACCTCAGCTTAACTTAGGACAATCACCATTGGTAGTTCGGGTCAACCACAGTTCTGTACAGATAGGTTTTAAAAATGTTTTAGGATGGTAATACCATATCTTCTCCTGTGATTAATGCCAGTACTGCATAATCTTTCCAGTAAAATAATTTCTTAATGTTCAGTCTGAACTTTGATCTGCAGTTTCTGTTTCCTGTTGTTAAGTTCTCTGGCACTATCAAGAGCAGGTACAGACCACCTCTTCTTCAGAGAGAAAGTATTTCCACCAATGGAGAATGTGGTCTTAAGCAGATAGACACAAATTTGTCAAAAGTGATTCAAAATTGGAGGAAATTTCTCTGTTACTGGAATGGAACTCTGAATCGGAGTCAGACAGGAGATCAGAGAAAGGTAAGACAGCAAATGGACTATAAGGTGAAGCTTTAATAGATTTCTGAATGGTAATCAATAATCTCTTGGTTAAGATATGGAAGATTCTTAAATGCTGTGATTAGTTCCTAGGTCTCTGTTCTGCAGTCACAAGTTTCTCTTCTAATTTTCCCTGTCTAATAAAACAAGGGCATTGCAAATGTTTGTGCAATACCCATTAGATACCACAGGAAATGGTTATATTTGCAATGATTATTGGAAATTTTAACACACAGCAGTCCAAGTGCTATTTTCTAGAAGTCCCACTAACCAAATATATCATGAATGTGCGAGTGGTATACAGGAACGTAAAAGTAAATCAGTATCAGAGGGTAAGGTTTTTACTCATAGCAAATAGTCCCCTGGAATTTCTCACAAACCCTGTATGGAGATAAATGCCCATTGTGAGAACAAGAGATTTTTTTTTCTTTCAGGGATATTTTCAACAAAGCAGAGAAGTTTCTTAATATCAGCCATAAAATGCATACAGAATCCATTTTATAGACAGTCTAAGATATGATTGTTTCTAGGAATGATTTCTTTCTTGTGGGTGACCTTGTAGAGTATTATTCAAGACAAGTTTTTCAGTGCTGAAATGGAGTTATAAATATGTCTAAGCTTTATATATATTTATAGGTATTACGAAAATAATAATTCTGATGTTAGCTCTGAATGGAAAGAAGATCAACTTTGATTACTTGCCAAATGCTACTGAGTATTAGAAGCCATGGAAGTTATTTCTTTTTAGTAAATTTCCTCATTTTATGGGCTCTCAGGAAAGAAATTCATATTTTCAGACATTCTCCTTTTCCTCCTCCTTTCTTCTCAGTCTCCTCTTTATCTCTGGCACTAAAACACCCTCTTTTCAGAGCCATTATTTTATTAATGCATGATTATGCATTTCTAACACTGCTTTCCTCAGCTTCTGTCTGAATACCTTTATTCAAGTCTCTATCTTACATTTTGAAGTTTCAATATAAAAATGAAATGGAACAGTTTTTGTATTTTTCCCCTTCAAGAAGTAAAATAAATAAATAAAGAGGTCACACAACATTGTATGCAGGTGTTCCTGTGAGAAACAATT